AAATTCTGCTCCAAAATATTTCCAGAAGAGAATGTCGCAGTTATTAGATGGATTAAACGGTGTATTATGTCACATGGATGATATCCTTGTATTCGGTTCAACTTGAACGTTTAAAATCAGTACTCAAAAGGTTAGAATCATCGGGATTAACTTTGAATTTGAATAAGTGTTTATTTGCACAGACAAGAATGAAGTTTTTGGGTCACATTATTTCCCACACTTGAATTTCCCCAGATCCGGATAAACTCAAAGCCATTAAAGAACTCGAACCACCTAATGATGTTCACGGTGTGAGACGCATACTTGGCGTAGTTCATCAACTTGGGAAATTCACCCCAAACTTAACAACATTAACTCAACCATTGAGAGAACTTCTTTCCAGTGAAGCGGATTTTAATTGGACTGATGAGAGACAAAAGTGTTTTGATTCTCTTAAGGTAGAATTGTGTTCTTCTCATGTTTTAAAACTTTATAACCCTAATCACAAAACCAAAGTTAATGCAGATGCATCAAAATTTGGATTAGGAGCGGCAATTTTGCAATTTGATCCAATTAGTTGTTATTGGAAACCTGTATCATTCGCATCACGCACAATGACAAGTGCTGAATGTAATTATCCCCAGATTGATAAAGAGGCTTTCGGTGTAACATGGGCTTGTGAGAAATTCTCCGAATATTTAGTAGGCATAAAGTTTCACATAGAAACTGACCACAAACCCTTGGTTTATCTTTTAGGTACAAAATGTGTGAATGAGCTTCCTGCTCGCATACAGCGATTCAGACTACGATTATTTCGTTATAAATATACTATTTCTCACGTACGAGGTAAAGACCTCATTCTACCTGATGCACTGAGTAGAGCTCCATTGTCAAACTGTCTGGATAAAACTGATTTATAATTAAGCAAAGATTGTGAAGCTATGATTTGTTCAGTTAGACAAAATTTTGTTAAAATTTTTAGTAGTGAAAGTCGATTATTGTCCCCCGCCTTTCGAAGAAAGCAGGGGACTATTAAAATGGGTTCGTCTGTCTGTCTGTCTGTCTGTCTGTCCGTCACACTTTTTGGGACACAATAACTCTCCTTCTAATTGACCTAGAATGTTTAAACGTGGTGTAGGTGTTTATTAGGTCAATGCCGTGATGGAGTTCGAAGATAAGCATTTTCGGCTTAGGGTAAGCAGAGATAAGCAATTTGATTGGTTGATGCTTTGGGACACGATAACTTTAGTTCTAATTAAGTGAGAGAGATTTAACTTGTTGTATAGTTTCATTACATCAATACCTTGACTAAGTTTGATAATGAGCATTTTCTGCTCAGGGTAAGCAGAGCGATAAGCAATTTGATTGGCCGAGACTTTGGAACACAATAACCCTCCTTCTAATTGAGCTAGAATGTTCAAACTTGGTGTAGGTGTTTATTAGGTCAATGCCTTGATGGAGTGTGAAGATAAGCATTTTCTGCTTAGGATAAGCAAAGATAAGCAATTTGATTGGTTGATGCTTTGGGACACGATAACTTTAGTTCCAATTAAGTGAGAGTGATGAAACTTGGTGTATAGTTTCATTACATCAATACCTTGACTAAGTTCGATGATGAGCATTTTTTGCTCAGGGTAAGCAGAGCGATAAGCAATTTGATTGGCCTAGACTTTGGAACACAATAACTCTCCTTCTAATTGAGCTAGAATGTTCAAACTTGGTGTAGGTGTTTATTAGGTCAATGCCTTGATGGAGTGTGAAGATAAGCATTTTCTGCTTAGGGTAAGCAAAGATAAGCAATTTGATTGGTTGATGCTTTGGGACACGATAACTATCTGATAGAGAGTGATGAAACTTAGTGTATAGTTGATAATCAGTTTGATTGCTTGATACTTTGGAAAAAAAATAGATGTGCGATTAATTAATATGTGTCATCTATTTATTTGGGGATTTCGGCGGGGGACATCAGCCTCACTGTTGGCTTGTTAGACATTCAGAAGGTCCAACATAATGATCCTATTTTAAGCAAAGTTATTACTTATGTTAAAAGAGGTCGGCCTGAAAAATCTAATATTATCTCTTCATTGAAAATTTTCCATCCTGTACGTCATGAACTAACTCTTATAGATAATTTATTAGTTCGTAATGCAAGAATTGTTATTCCAGAATCTTTAAGGTCAGAAATGTTACAGAAATTACATCAAGGTCACTTAGGTATTCAAAAGTGTCGTGAACGTGCCTTACAAAGTGTATGGTGGCCTGGATTAAGCAGTCAAATTCTTGATCTAGTTCAATATTGCACACAGTGTGCTGAATTTCGTGCCAAACATTCTGAACCATTAATTACTACAAATTTTCCGGAAAGACCATGGAAAGTCATTGGATCTGATTTGTTTTATTTCAAGGGAAAAACATATTTACCTGTAGTTGATTATTTTTCTAGGTATGTAGAAATTGCATTGTTAAAATCTCTAACTTAAAATCGATTTTTGCAAGGCATGGCTTACCTGAAATTCTTAGATCTGATAACGGTCCTCGGTATAAATCATATGAATTTAAGACATTTGCTAAAGATTTTCAATTCACACACATTACTAGCAGTCCGATACATCCACAAAGTAATGGAGCAGCGGAAATTGCAGTAAAAACAGTTAAATTGTTACTTAAGAAATCACATGATCCTTATAAGGCATTGTTGGCATATCGATCAACCCCTCTTTCTAATGGATATAGTCCACCTGAGCTTTTATTTGGGCGAAAATTGAGAAATTTTGTACCTTGCTTAACAAGTAAATTACAACCTCATTGGCCTTTCTTGAATAATGTGAGGGAAAGAGAAGAACAGTAAAGAAAGCGTTCTAAGAAAAACTTTGATCGTCGTCATAATGTTTCTGAAAAATCTGTACTTATATTGAATGAGAATGTATATATTAGTGATTTAAAACGTCATGGTATTGTAAAAGAAATACTTCCTAATAGATCATATCTTATTGAAACTGTACATGGTATTGTTAGGAGAAATAGAATTAATCTTGTTCCATGTAAACCTCCAATGAATCTTATTTATACATATGCAGATTTAGATTGTTATAATGATAATATAACTGATGTTAATCATAATATGCCAAATATTTCTGTTAATGATTATCATGATCAAACTATTCCAAAATCTCCAATTTTAGTTAGACGTTCTAACAGATTAAGAAAACGTCCAAAAAGATTGATCACTGAAATTTAAAGAATTATTATGTTTTGTTATGTACAAAATGTTTTTGATTATTGTTTGATCTAATTATTATTTTTATTACATTGTCATATCATTAAGAGACAATGAAGGCTATACAAAGGGGGATGTGGTATTATTGACCAATGAAAAGCCTTCCTCGTCTCTAGCTCTCTCGCTTATGCATGAAGAACATGTCTGCTGTCTCGATTTTATGTGCTCTCTAATACACTTTTTATATGACTGTTAGCCTGCCTCCAGTCTTTGTTAACGAAATACGGTTACAACCAAACAAAAACAGGCGACATTGACGGATAGGCCTCAAGATTCTGTCCCATTTCTTATCCTCTCGTTAACGAGAATTTGGATCTGTTTGCCATGACATTGAATAAATTGTCAGGACAGTCCCAAAAATTAAACGCTCGGTTACACATCTGAAATTTTTTCGCGCCTGCTACGCTCGATTCCATTATAACATCATTGTTCCACTCCTCTGTTGTCTTATACTGTCTCAGCACTATCATATTCACGGTTATACTGGTCTGCCTAGTTATGTTAGTAGTACCACTCCACTGGCACTGGTGTGTGAGTCGTGGGGCGTCAGACTATACAAAAGTTCTGTCAACTCTTGCAAAACAGGCGGAATTGACAGGGGCAGAGTCAACTTAAATAAAACTGCTTTCCAGCGAGACAACGATCGACAAACAACTATATAATTATACAATACCACCTATGTTCTACCGGGACGCTTAATGTTATAGCCAGTATTTTGTTGACATTCATTGCGGGGTGGAATTGTGACTGCGTCACTCGTACTAGAGGTATGGGCATCAGTCGGTCGCATTTTGGCTAAACACCCCCCCCCCCCCAAACAAAATCGTTATGTACGCCCCCGTTGCGTTGATTCTAATGATCGAACCACGATGGTGTAAATCTAGTATATGTGAATATGTATCTGTATAGTAAATTCTGACTTTTAGTCTTGAGCTGCATGGACTTCACACGGGGTTGGCCAAGCCAGTATTAAGGTGCCCCGAGCTAAAAAAAAATCTCGAAAACTATTTACAGTTATGACACTATAAACAACAACCCTAGATAATCCTTTATTATAAACTGCCAAGAAACTATACCTGCGTGCTATATTTCACAAGATATATCCATTCGACTGTACGTTAAAATACACTGCTTTTGTGTACTAGCGACGGAGATATTTATTTTGAGGTTTCAGGACTAAGACTAGTAATTATTTCCCCTTATTACGAATGTAGTGCGAGTTATAAATAGACAATTTTTCCCTTAATTTTTTTCTCCCCTCTTCCTGCATTTTTGAGTTGACTTTTTGGTCTAGAATTGGAGAAAAGGGATCAAATTTGCAATTTCATAGCAGTTTTAGCTAATACTGATGATATTAGAGCGGAGGGATAGGGGGTGTAAAGTGTCTTTCTGCAGAGCAATCATTGTGTGGAAGTGAGATTTTCACCCCAGTCAACTTCAAATCCCCATAGCAAAAAATCTAAACGGTCAACCCCCTACAAATTTATGATGAGGATATTGCCAAATGTGGTCCCCATTGTGCCTATAAAGATTGGAACTAACGGAATGTTGAGCAAAAAGCTATAGCCTGTGATGTTACAGCCATTTAACATTGAAGTCAATTGCTAGTCTGAGACCTTCAGTGTTTTAAATGGACTAAGACTAGTGGTGCGAGTTATTAATAGACAATTTTTCCCTTAATTTTTTTCTCCCCTCTTCCTGCATTTTTGGGTTGACTTTTTGGTCTAGAATAGGAGAAAAGGGATCAAATTTGCAATTTTATAGCAGTTTTGGGTAATACTGGTGATATTACAGCGGAGGGATAGGTGTGTAAAATGTCTTTCTGCGTAGCAATTATTGTATCGGAAGTGAGATTTTCACCCCAGTCAACTTCAAATCCCCGTAGCAAAAAATCAAAACGGTCAACCCCCTACAAATTTATGCTGAGGAGATTGCCAAATGTGGGTCCCCATTGTGCCTATAGAGATTGGAACCAACGGAATGTTGAGCAAAAAGCTACAGCCTGTGATGTTACACCCATTTAACATTGAAGTCAATGGGCAAATAATTACTAGTCTGAGTCCTGATAAGATGGCAGCCTTGAAGAGTGTTTTTTTTTCCAGTTATTTATTTCCTGGAGTTTTGAATAGGAATTGTCAGAAAAGGTAAGAATACTGCTTCTGTATTGCCCAGTAGTAATATTTTTGACTTTTTGATATCAAAATAGCCATTATTGGGGGTATCCGTTGGCTGAGTGTGAATTTGGGGTTTAAATGTTAACATTTCGTTCAGTATGCTGTCAAAACGTGGTTAGGTCTAAATATTAAGGCCAACTCAACTGCAGATTTGGTGTAAGGTCCCGAGATGTAAACAGGGCTGACCCTAACCCTAACCCAAGACGTAGTCCTGACCCTAACCCTATCCCACGATCTCGTCAAAAGGCATTTGCCATAGGCCTATGCCAAGACAGCTATTCCTGACCCTAGCCCCAACCCACAATCTTGTCAAAAAATCATGTGCCCACAACCCTATTTACATGTGACCTTGAACCAAGTCTGCAGTTGGCCTTAGTATGTAGACCTAACATATTTTGGCATCATACAATAAAATGTTAGCATGTACACTCCAAAATTCACCCCCATGTGACCTTTGACCAACCTGCAGATGGCCTTAATATTTAGACCGAACCTCAAAACATGGTGTCTACCTTTAAGATTGGCTCAAACTTATGTGACACTCATTTTTTACTTTTTTACTGACTGTTAACTGGTTTCTTGTTGGAGGGCCAGTGATTGGATGTTCGCTAGAAATAAAGAGGTTTTATTTCTATTTCCAGTCTAAACCATTTTTTTTCTTTCGCATTCTCTCACTGTTTTTTTATTGCATATTAATCTCCAGCTTTCCATCATTTCAGGTGCCAGGGTAATATTTCATAGAGTGGATTGATTGACCTCAACAAACACAGATATTAAAAAAAAAGTTCAAGCAAAACAGGTGAGATAAATGTGCATTTCATACACTTTACGAAGTACCTGATCCCCACTTCTGCCCACAAACGAGCTGGAAATTTGGTACTGCACAGGCCTTTCTACTCCCCTTGGCATGTAACTGAGTGACAGAATTCCACATTTTGACCATTTTCTGGATGTCAATGATCCGTTTCCCTGGATAGCATTCGCCCCAGAATTCTCACTCTCATCCATATTTAACATTTCAGGTCTACATCTCAAAACCCGATGACTTCCTGGACTGGCTTTAGTAGAACGATGATGCATATCAATTTCACCACTGATCTCTATGACAACTGTGGTGAAAGTGGAGGACAAATTGTAATCAGTTTGGGTTCCAGCTGAGGACCTCTGTAAACTTTGCTTTTTGGTAATGACTTCATTTGTTTATCATGGCCTCTCATATTGGAAGATAACATAAATGGCTTGTGTGTTGACGGTTGTGCATATCTCTTGGTCAGGAAAGTTGTAGGCACCATCACCCTTGTAAATCATTTGACAGGCCAGAGTGAACAGGGAGACCCATGATTGGTCAGCAATGTATCAGATTCAACACTGGGGGGGGGGGGGGTGATAAAACTGTTGTAGTGTTACATAATCAGATTATTTCAAGTTACTTATCCTGTGGAAATACAGCTATATAGGAGATATTTTAAAATTCATAGACTACATGTTTCAACATTTTAGATCTGACCACAATTCGGCACCTGAAACTGTGTTAACAGAGAAAAACTGTGTGGTTTTCGATGAAAGTGTTAAAAAGTCTAATATTGCATCATGATTGCTGTTTTAAAGTATTTTCGGGTTTGATTTATATTGAATTCATCTTATCTTTTTACAGAATGCATTTATGTTCAAAAATAAAAATGTTGTGTGGAATTCAAAATTCATGTGCTTTTAAATTTCTGTCTGAAATTCCGTAGTTTTCTGATGTATTATAGTGATTGTAGAATGCTGCACTGCTCATCTCTAAAATGCAATGATTTTCATACTCTTTGGCCAGGGTATTGCATATATGTTTGTTTATTAGATAACAACAGATTTGTTCAAACAGCAAGAACGTGTGAGGTATATAGGACTAAGAAAAGTTTCATTGAATAATTAAGAGAATTAAATGAATAACGACAAAGATAAATAGGTTAAAAAATTAGGGTAATCAGCGCAGGTGTATTCACTTTATCAAACAAATCATAACTCAAATCCTACCCAAAACACGATCTGTTACGACATTTCACAAATCAATTGATAATAAATAATACATAGTCATTATTTACCAAACACAGATATGTAATTTAGAACTAATCTGTAATAAACATATGTTCTCAATTGTTCCCCTTAGGACATACTTAGAGTATGTCAAAAGCAACTTTTCAAACACGATATCAAAGTAAATCTACAGTAGTAGGGGTATTTTGTAAAATAAATTGCTACCCGATAATTGGTTTAAACTGATTGGTTTAAAGAAAACAGTTTTTTAAAAATAATCATTTGTTAAAATACTCTGAGAAGTGCTGGAATGTCGGTCTGCTGGGACACCGACGCGCTCACATGATATTCTTTGAACTGTAGTTTTTGTTGGAGTATAATTAGATTTGAGTCCCGCGACGGCCAAACATGCGGTTATAACCGCGTCGACGTTCCTATCGGAAACGTTGAGGGTTTTTTGTCCCCCGCCTTTCGAAGAAAGCAGGGGACTATTAAAATGGGTTCGTCCGTCTGTCTGTCTGTCTGTCTGTCCGTCTGTCTGTCCTGTCTGTCCGTCTGTCTGTCTGTCTGTCTGTCTGTCCGTCTGTCTGTCCTGTCTGTCCGTCTGTCTGTCCGTCCGTCTGTCCGTCACACTTTTTGGGACACAATAACTCTCTTCCTAATTGAGCTAGAATGTTCAAACTTGGTGTATGTGTTTATTAGGTCAATGCCTTGATGGAGTTCGAAGATGAGCATTTTCCGCTTAGGGTAAGCAGAGATAAGCAATTTGATTGGTTGATGCTTTGGGACACGATAACTCTCTTCCTAATTGGGCTAGAATGTTCAAACTTGGTGTATGTGTTGATTAGGTCAATGCCTTGATGGAGTTCGAAGATGAGCATTTTCCGCTTAGGGTAAGCAGAGATAAGCAATTTGATTGGTTGATGCTTTGGGACACGATAACTTTTAATTGAGCTAGAATGTTCAAACTTGGTGTATGTGTTTATTAGGTCAATGCCTTGATGGAGTTCGAAGATGAGCATTTTCCGCTTAGGGTAAGCAGAGATAAGCAATTTGATTGGTTGATACTTTGGGGCACGATAACTCTCTTCCTAATTGAGCTAGAATGTTCAAACTTGGTGTATGTGTTGATTAGGTCAATGCCTTGATGGAGTTCGAAGATGAGCATTTTCCGCTTAGGGTAAGCAGAGATAAGCAATTTGATTGGTTGATGCTTTGGGACACGATAACTTTAGTTCTAATTAAGTGAGATTGATGAAACTTGGTGTATAGATTTATTATATGAATACCTTAACTAAGTTCGATAATGAACATTTTTTGCTGAGGGTAAGCAGAGTGATAAGCAATTTGATTGGTAGAAACTTTGGAACACAATAACTCTCCTTCTAATTGAGGTAGAATGTTCAAACTTGGCATAGGTGTCTATAAGGTGAATGTTTAAACTTGATGTATATGTAGATGTTCATTAGGTGAATGTCTTGACTGAGTTCAATAATTAACATTTCGAGCTGAAGCTAAGCAGAGCTAATCGATTTCATTTGTCGATGGTTTGGGACAAGATAATCTTGATTCTATCTGATAGAGAGTGATGAAACTTAGTGAAAAAAATAAATGTGCGATTAATTAATATGTGTCATCTATTTATTTTGCAATTTCGGCGGGGGACATCAGCCTCACTGTTGGCTTGTTTTAGTTGCATGACCAAATTATGGCATGCTGAAGTGTATCTTTGATTTTCGACATCATACAAAATTACTTCTTCCCCACGAGGTTGGGACTTACAACCAGCTTTTTTTATTGGTCAAAACTTTATTATTATTAGCCTTCGCGCGAATCAATTCTTTTGAGGGTTCCTTAGTCGATTTTTTAAACACAAAATTGTTTTTGTATACCTATTGATCCTTCTTAATAAATTCTTATTTTTCCTATTTAACTTGGTCAAAGTCGCAGCACCGACAGATGTCTGTGTCCCGCTTTTTATTAAATGTATCGTGCTGGTATCTGCCGATGGTGTCTTGTCCACTATCCCGAGATAAGCGTCATATAATTTTAAAGATTTATTACAATTTTTTATATGTTTACCCAGCTTTCTAGACTTTGTCTTCAGTCTGACCAGCCTACAATTCATCGTTGGACGTCATGTCTGCTAATTTAATCGATTGACAACAAATTAAAGAACTAGAGGGTAAAGTAACTGCGAAGAATGAAGAAATCATTAAGTAGATGACGTCATTAAGGTAGATGATCTTGAACAATATGGTAGACGGGAGGGTATTAGAATAGCTGGAATAAATGAAGTAGATCGGGAATCAACAGATGATATTGTTGTAGATGTTGGTAAAATTCTTGGTGTTGAAATATCTAAATTTGATTTAAATAGAAGTCACAGAGTTGGACCACCCGATCGCTACGATATATTTGATAATCCAAGACCTATCATTGTTCGCTTCAAAGGCTACTCTACAAAACGTGACTTTATTCCAAACGCTAAAAAGCATAAAAATATAAAACGAGATGACTTGCCTCCTTAAACAAGCATAGAATTTCTATCAACGAAGATCTTACCCGTGTTAGGGCCAAGTTAGCGTTCGAAGCAAGAAAAACGGCCAAGGAGAAGAAAATTAACTCCACATGGACACGTGGTGGAAAAATCTTCCTAAAACTCAGAGACGATAATATCAAAGTTATAACAACTAAAAGGGAACTAGAAAGTGTACTTGATACTTGATAGCACAAGACTAAAAATGGTAATCCACTGACAGACGCTACAAACAGAATGTGAAGGATCCATGATTGTTGATGGAGACAAACCAAATAATTAAACTTTATACACTGCTTTTTCATATTTGAATTATTACTGACATGTAGAACTTAGTCAAGCGAACCTAAACTGAGTCTTTCCTTTTAAATTTTAAATGAAATTTGTCATTTGCCGATCATGATAAATCGGACTTTCCTGTAAAAACGAACACGCCTGATGTACACAATAATAATCACTTTAACTTAATCAAACGTGGATTCAATTCATAACGATAATAACTTTAAAAGATTAGACAAGAAAGGTCCACGTGGAATATTATCGACACAGAACGTTGTCGTAAAGCGAACAACAATAACTGTCTCATCTGTTTTGTCGATGTACATAAGAAAGAAACGTCCCTTTAATAATCTACAATCCCAATATGACTAAATATAGGTCATATACAGGTCAGTCCGACATCTGACTATATGTTGTGTTAACTTCGACTTAAAGGAAACCTTCCTCTAAAATATAAGTCAAATTTACGAAATATTTAATTACACCTTCTTCGCAGATTTTAATTATAACTAGAGTGTATATGCATATCCTGTATTGAATATGATAGAACATATATCCGACAATTTAAATTTAAGACTGATACACGTTCACGCAAAATGTTAAACCTAACTGGGCCGATAATTTTCACTTGTTACCATCAATTAAATTGATAACCAACCCAAGCGATTACTTGTAAATATGTACATATTCCCTTCCTTTCTATTATTGTCCCCCGCCTTTCGAAGAAAGCAGGGGACTATTAAAATGGTTTCGTCCGTCTGTCTGTCTGTCTGATGGTCCGTCCGTCACACTTTTTGGGACACAATAACTCTCCTTCTAATTGAGCTAAAATGTTCAAACTTGGTGTAGGTGTTTATTAGTTCGATGCCTTGATGGAGTTCGAAGATGAGCATTTTCTGCTTAGGGTAAGCAGAGATAAGAAATTTGATTGGTTGATGCTTTGGGACGCGATAACTTTAGTTCTAATTTAGTGAAAGTGATGAAATTTGGTGTATAGTTTCATTACATCAATACCTTGACTAAGTGCGATAATGAGCATTTTCTGCTCGTGATAAGCAGAGCGATAAGCAATTTGATTGGCCGAGATTTTGGAACACAATAACTCTCCTTCTAATTGAGTTAGAATGCCCACACTTGGCGTAGGTGTCCATTAGGTGAATGCCTTGATGGAGTTCTATGATGAACACTGTCTGCTTACGGTAAGCAGAAATAAGCAATCGGATTGGTTGATGCTTTGAGGCACGATAACTTTGGTTATAATGAAGTGAGAGCGGTGGAACTCCGAATATAGATGCATTATATCATTACCTTGACTAATTTCGATGGTGAGAATTTTCTGCTTAGGTTAATGAGCGATAAGCAATTTGATGTAGATGTTCATAAGGTGAATGTCTTGACTGAGTTCAATGATTAACATTTCTTGCTGAAGCTAAGCAGAGCTAATCAATTTCATTGGTCAATGCTTTGGGACAAGATAATCTTGATTCTATCTGATAGAGAGTGATGAAACTTAGTGTATAGTTTGATTGCTTGATACTTATAAAAAA